TTATAAGTATAGTATAATATACCCCTAAACCCTATTCTAATTATTAAGGCCTTTAGATTAACCGAATGGACCCAAATTCATGTCTACCCAAACCGTGAGCCCCGAAAACCCCTGAATCCCGAAACCCCTGGATAGTGCGCTTATGGATCCCTTATAATTATAGGAAGCCTCACCCCCTGAAACCCTAAAACCCTAAACTCTAAACCCTGAACCCCTAAAGCCTTAACCCTGAACCTCTAAACCCTAAAGCCTAAACCGCTGAACCCTAAACCCTCAAAAACACGACACGCAGATGAAGGGGGACCTTCCAAGTACTTCTCTGGCGTTGGGTAGTCCTTGCGCGCTGCTGAGAGGTTCATAGCCCTAAACCCTAAACCCTAAACCCTAAACCCTAAACCCTAAACCCTAAACCAGGGTTCCTTTAAGGGGTGTAGGGCGGTTGCTGACCCAGAGAGCCCAAGGGCCCCATAATTAAGGGTTCTATAAGGATTGCCATCGGTTTAGGGTTTAGGGTTTAGGGTTTAGGGTTTAGGGATGCTGTAAGGGTTATAAAACGGTTGCTAGGGTAGTATAAAGGTTGCTATAATGGTTCAGAGAGCCCAATACCCCCCTGATTCAGGAATATACCTTTAACCATAATATTAAAGGTCTCTATAACTGAAGATATACCTCAGAAAACCCACTTTTTTGTAGGTTCTTAAAATAAACCCTAATATGGGATAATAGGGACCCTACAAAAAAGTAGGGTTCTGGTGGGTTAGGTATTCCTTAGTCACGGGATATTGGGCTTTCTGCGGAGTGCGCATTGACCCCGAGCAGGCTGAAAAATCCGCAATCCTCCAGATGACATGGTGGTTGGATAAACGGTTTAAGATTTTGCAAGTTTAGGCTATTAAGGTTTAGGGCTTCGGATTTTGCAGTTTAGGTTTTTAGGGCTTGGGGTTTAGGACTTTGCGGTTTAGGCTTGAAGGCACCAGGGATCGAAGTTCTTGTCAATATCTAGGAGCAAGATTTGCTGAATCGTTTTCGAGGCTAGCTCTAAATCGTGCGCTCCGAATCCCGTGGGCTCAACTCAAGTGGCCGTAATGATCGGAATAGGGTATATTACTGTATAGTATAGTAGTATAGTGCAGCTATAGCGAGGAACCCTAAGGAACGGTATCAATTTCTAGCATTGTGGTATAGCCACATTCAAGAAGCCTTACTAGATATTCAACCTTCCGATGGGATTCTTGACACTGGTGTTGCTTGCGCGTCCTCGGCCTTCACGTCGCGAAGCTTGGCTTTGCGCTTGTCCCCTGCAAGATTCTGGAGGGCCTCCAGACAGAAAAAATAAAAAACAGACAAATAGCGAGATCCTTATCACAAGGAATTAAACGGTACTACAAGGTATCATAAGGTATGACAAGGCACTACATTGTATTGCGAAGCAGTAGATGGTATTGCAAGGTGGCTTCAGGTACCATACGGTACAATAAGATACTGTAAGGAGGTAACGGTTTAGGGTTTAGGGTTTAGGGTTTAGGGTTTAGGGTTTAGGGGTATAACGTCCCACAAGATAGTATCAGGTATTGTAACAACTTCAGGAAATAGGATGCATGTCTCTCTGCACGGATCGTGTCTGACTGCGTCGCGGATGAACTGCTTGGGGTTTGGGGCTTGGGCCTGGAGTTTAAGATTTAGGGACTAGGGATTAGGGTGCAGGGTTGAAGGTTCGTGGTTGATTGTGTTTAGGCTCTTAGTTTAGTAATTCGAAGTACGGCTACCCAAACTGGGTTGCTGTTAAGGAGCGGAATTTAAGTTACCATAATGGGGACACATAGTAAATGATAGGGTTTCCTTATTATATTAGCGCATAGGCCCTAAACCCCAAAGCGCCTCAACCCTAAACCCTGAACCCTAAAGGGCCTCAACCCTAAACCCTGAACCCTAAAGGGCCTCAACCCTAAACCCTGAACTCTAAAGGGCCTCAACCCTAAACCCTGAACTCTAAAGGGCCTCAACCCTGAACCCTAAAACCCTAAAGGGCCTCAACCCTAAACCCTGAAC